TGCCCCTGTGCAAGAAAATGAAACGGGCCAAAGTTTCAAAGGCAAATGTACTGTATGTGCAAACAGTACATTGAGAATGTACCTATATTACGAATGCTTTATTTACTTTTTGGAAGCCGGACTTTGCGTCCGCAGTGTAGTGAAGCCTCGACCCGCGAAACGTTCGAAAGAAAAACCGTTAGATTAGACGATAAGACTGTTCACAGGCTGTGGTCACCCAGCAGACTGACATCATTATAAATATTGTTCTCTGATTTGAGGAAATGTCTCTGGACTTTCAGACCTGAATATCAGTGTGGTTTTGTACGCACACCCAGAGCCTTTTAAGCCCTAGGTACGTTGTTAGTGTAGACGTTAAGCTCCCGCTAGCGCCGGCCCTGCAATCTAGGCGGTGTCCTAGGGCGCCGATATAAATGGAGCACAAAATTTGAGGGAAAATAGTTTTAAAAACTTTATAAGAAATTAAAATATTTTAAAATGTTAATTATAATATTATATGAAAAGTATTTCACTCCATGTGTGTGAGAGAAGCTAATATTAATTGTAATTATTTTCTATACATTTTCGAGAATTTACTAAAACGTTAAATCCTCTGTTAAGATCGTGAAAACGAACATCTTGACGCTCTTTGCTAGTGTCTATTGCTCTTCGCACCGCTGTCTGTATTATTGCCGTAGAGCTGTGATATCACGAGTTAGCGTTTTAGTTTATACAGAATCTAAAAAACTGTAAAACTGAGCCGTTTACCTAACTCACAAAAAGACACAGAGAAGAAAAGAGTCTGAGAAGAAAAAGGAAGAAAGACAGGGAATTAACAGAAGCAGAAACACCCGGTAAGTGGACCTGGTTCTGGTTTCGCATTGGTGATGTATTTTTAAAAATGGTAGATTGAGTCCCTTTTCAATTTCACTTTTGGTCATCCAGGATTAAACGAAGGAAATTTGGCACTGGGATGTACAGTATTCCGTTGATTTAGGATGCCAAGTGTTTCTCCTGTTGGCCTGTTGAGGCATTTTGTAGGATTTCACCTTAGCATTTTTGGTTCCTCTGTTTGTAGGACACGGGCCTCTTAGATGCCTTGTTTTTTAAAATTCTGTAATCCGTATGTTGTATGTTGTTTTTTTTTTTTTTAATTACCCTTTTGCGTTTTTTTTTGCCATGAACTAGAAAATGTTTATGATGTCCTAATTGAAATTTCTTCTGATAACGACCTTTGTTGAACCATCTGGCAGTATGGCACATTCAGAAGCAAACGTTCTTGCAAAAGGCCTTTTAAAATTCAGATTTCTGACTTCACTCATTTTGTCGTACAGTAACCTTTTTGGGATTAATATTACTACTAGACAGCTTCAGGAAAAGAACGTTAACATCAATTCTGCTATTTATAAACTGCAGCAAACTAAAAATATTCTAAAGGAATTCGGAAGTAAAAGGCTTGAAAGAACACTTGTCGATTCTTGCAAGCCTGCTGAAGAAATAGTCTTTCAGATAGAATGTGAGTCAGGGACTGTTCACATTCAGAAAAAAAGACAACAGTTTTTTTCATCAAAGACTAGACAATTTCATTCAGAACCCAAAACATAATTTCCAGGTGATTTTCTACTTTGCAGTCTTTGATACTGCAATTCACTCAGTTGATGAAAAATTTAAACTGGTGCAGTCAGTATTTTTCTTTCTATATGATAGACACAGATTGCAAATGAAAAGAAGAAAACAGATAAGGAATTGTGTTTAAATCTGGAATTGGCATTGGCATGTGAAAATTCAGAAGACACTTATGCTGCAGATTTGTGTAGTGATATTCCTGAAGCCCACAATCCACTCATGTAGAAGTACTGATGTTTATTTGTGAAAATAAACTCAGTTTTCCAAAAATGTTTGTGGCTCTATGCATTGTTTTAACTTTGTCAGTTTCTGGGGAATGTAGCTTCTCAAAGCTTAAATTGGTAAAAATATTCAACACTGTGTTCAACAGCAGTGCAAGAGAGAAGAGTTGGATTTGCCGCAATGTCAATACAACATGAAATCTCTGGAAATCTTTATCTGTTGCTTGTAGGGCAGTTCAGACACCATTCCTTTGTGGGGCAAAGCACTGTATACAGCCATATAGGTCAGAAAAAAAAAGACGTGTTTTAAGAGCAGAAAATCATCTTTTATTCTGAATTTTATAAATGTAATAAAAGTTAATTGAAGAGTTTTCTTGCTTTTTTCTATATTTGGATTTGGTTATAATTACAGTTAAACCAAGCTAGTGTGTGATGATTTGTAATAAATCATTTAATTAATTATTGTTAATTAGTAAAGTTTTCTGTGATATTCGACAGCAGTATTATCTAGCTCTTGTGTCTCGGTCGGACAGATCGATGGACAAATTGAATACTAAAATCTTGTTTTTTAAAAGTGCTTTAAAAATGTAAAGAAAACATTGTTTTACCAACCAGTTTACCTAAAGGGTAATTGGGGAGGTGCCGATTGCATGGGCTTCCCAGGGTGCCAGTTGCTGGTTCTAGGGCCAAGTCTGGAGTTCAGTTTCCATTGATTTAACACTTTGTTTTTTAACTGTCCGGTGTTTAAGTCAGCAGAAGGCCTAAGGCTGAGTGATGCTGCTTTTCAGGTCAGTGAAAAGTAAATATGGGAGTCATAATAAAAAAATCCTGATCTGGGGTAAAATAGAGCAATATTAAGCTGTCACTCTTAATGTAATATATGATGTGTACAGTAAATACGATAGAATTATTTTGGTACTTGATGGCTGTATATAATTCACAAAAGACAAGTTAATTCTGAGTTTACTATTTAGGTTCACAATATAGAGTACTGAAAATACAGTTTGTATGCAAAGGTTTGGCACCCCTGGTCAAATTGTATGTTTAACTGAATCAATAAATGAAAAGAAGTTAACACAACCTCTGCATCATACAAACTTAAACAAGACATATTTCTGCACAGTTCAATGTAAAATTACTATTTATTTGCTGAATTTAACAGATTGAAAAAAAAATAAAACAGTGAATGTGGCATGGGCAGTCAGTACTTAGTAACATCTCCTTTGGCAGAAATCACAGATTCCAGACATTTCTTGTAGCCAGCTAAGAGTCTTTCTTGCCTTAGGATTTTTTTTTCCATTCTTCCTTGAAGAGCTAGCTCAGAAATATCCTTAGGTCTTCTTACACCAAAATATGTTTGTAGAGTCATCTCAAAAAGCATCAATAAAAAGATCCAGAGAACTTCCCCATTAATACTGTCTACAGTCTTTATTATAGGGCCATTTTTACTGCTTCCTTAGTGAACTTAGTGAACATAGTAGATGTACTGCATTCTGATAATCTAACAGAACACACTTTCAGATTGTTCTTTTCACATGGGTGGCACAAAGTTATAGCAGATCATCCATCAGACAAATATATTAGACCAACTCGACAGTTATTTTTTAAACACTACTACAACTATTTTGATAATATAATATTACTATTTTTAATTAATAATATTGTTTTGTTCTAGGAGCTGAGAAAATCAGAAGACACTTGGTTGAAGACAAGGAATGAGAAAATGCTTTAGATGGAAAAATCTGTTTTGTCTGAAACAGCAGTTTTTAAAGGTAAGGAAACTGGTATAAGCAGTTGCACAGAGAAAATACTGAGTAGGACTTGATGAACGTTTCTTGTTATTCCAGCTCAAAAAGGGTAAACAAAGTGATCCAATGATATAGGATAGTGCATGGCCACCTCTAGATCAG